CCAGGCTGCAGTGCAGTGGTGCGATCTTTTGATTAACATAGGTTTTTCACCTCAGTATCATTCAGTTTATCAATCTTCATTATGTATTTGCTTTTATATATTTTTACAGAATTTCTCCCTTAATCTAAGATTGGAAAAATAAGATATTCCATATTTTTTTCTAAAAATTTAAAGTTCTTCATTTCATATTTACATATACATCTAGGTAAGAATACACTTAGAAATGACTTTTTTTTTTTAAGAGACAGGGTCTTGTCTGCCACCCAGGCTGGACTGCAGTTATGCAATCATAGCTCACTGCAGCCTTGAACTCCTGGGCCCAAGCGATCTTCTCACCCCAGCCTCCTGAGTAGATAGGACTACAGGCGCCCACCGCCAAGTATGGCTATTTTTTTAAACTTTTATTTTTGCAGAGACAGGGTCTCACTACACTGCCCAGTCTAGAAGTGACTGTTTATATACTGACATGAGGTAGACATCTAGTATAATTTATTTCCAAAGGTGTAACAAAATGATCATTAATTCAACAGTCCATGTTTACCTCAAGGTACTTCAATTCTTTCTCTGAAACACATTATATCTATATATACATTTGTGTCTGTCTCTGAGCTATGTATTTAATTATAAATAAGGCTAAGTACTAATCTATTTGTCTATCCCAGTGGTTCTCAACCAGGATTTGGCAATATCTAGCGACAGCTCTGGCTGTCACATTGGGTTGTTGGGGTGCAAGGTGCTCCTGCATCTAATGGGCAGGGGAAAGGGACGCTGCTAAAAATCTTACAGTGCATTCAGAAGAGCTCTCATCTGCAAACAAAGAATGATCCTGTCCAAAATGTCATTACTGCAACTGTTGAGAAATCTCTGTCTATTCCTCTGCCAGTTATAATTACTTCGGCTTTGTTTTTTCACTTCATAGGTTTTCTGAGGTCTTTTTCAGCACCAAAAATAGCTATCTCATTCCTTTCAAGAACTTTATTGCATGGCTGGACCTAATACAATGAACAGATTTGTATCAATACATATTTAGATTAAGTTTGTTGCTTTGTTATTTCCAGTAGTGTTTGCCCATAGTCCTTTTGTACAACTATATCTCTAGGCCAATTCCCTAGAATTGAAATTGTGAGTCCAAAGTTGTACGAGCCAGGCATCCCAGCTACTCAGGAGGCTGAGGCAAGAGAATCGCTTGAACCTGGGAGGTGGAGGTTGCAGTGAGCCGAGATCACGCCACTGCACTCCAGCCTTGATGACAGAGCGAGACTCTGTCTTTAAAACAAAACAAACAAAAAAGTCAGTTGTAAATGACAGTTGATAGTGCCAAATAGTTTTACACTGATATTAACACTTTTCCGGGCCGGGCACGGTGGCTCACGCCTGTAATCCCAGCACTTTGGGAGACCGAGGAGGGCAGATCACCCGAGGTCGGGAGTTGAAGACCAGACTGACCAACATGGAGAAACCCCGTCTCTACTAAAACTAGAAAAAAAAATTAGCCGGGGGTGGTGGCACTTGCCTGTAATCCCAGCTACTCCGGAGGCTGAGGCCGGAGAATCGCCGGAACCGGGGAGGCGGAGGTTGTGATGAGCCGAGATCGCGCCATTGCACTCCGGCCTGGGCAACAAGAGTGAAACTCCGTCTCAAAAAAAAAAAAAAAAAAAAAAAGAGTCTTCCAAAATTGTATAAATTTACCTAGTTCAAAAAGGTAAATGCCTTTGCAAAACTTTGAACTTTTCACCAATCTGATAAATTTTTTTTGACTTTTTTTTTTTTTTTTTTGAGACAGTCTCGCTCTATCGCCCAGGCTGGAGTGCAGTGGGACGATCTTGGCTACTAAGGGCAGGAGTCACTGCGCCCGGCTAATATTTTGGTAGACACGGGTTGCGCCATTTGGCCAGGCTGGTGTCAAACTCCTGGCCTCAAGCGATCTGCCCGCCTCGGCCTCCCAAAGTGCTGGGATTACAGGTGTGATCCACCATACCTGGTCTTGACTGTATTTAACTATAAGAAAGGCTAAGTCCTTTTTTCCCCCCCATAAAATCAAGCTCCTGCAGGAAGGGCTAAATACTTTTTCTCTTGCTTATTGAACATCTGCATTTTGTTAATTGTGAATTGCTTGTCTTTGGGATTTTCCTAAGGGAGTATAAGTTTTTTCTTGTTTTGTTTTGTTTTTTTTAGACAATCTCGCTCTGTCGCCAGGCTGCAGTGCAGTGGCGCGATCTTGGCTCACTGCAACTTGCAACTCCCTGGTTCAAGTGATTCTCCTGCCTCAACTTCCCTGGCAGAGTAAAATGCTTACTAGAACGTCAATCACTTATGATACAAGTATTTTCTCTCAGTTTGTCATTTAAGGATTTTTAAAGTTTTGCCATAAAAAAGCTTTTCATTTTTATGTACTGAAATGTATCAGATTTTTCCTTGGAACTTCTGGGTTTGCTGTTATGTTTAAAGACTTTTCCCACCTCAATGAATTATCACCATGAGTAATACTATTAAAACAAACTCCTAGGCTTGCATTTTCTGCCTTGGTTAAAAATTTAAATTTGCTAACTCAGCATTATGCTGCTCTGGGTTGAGTTTCATTTAGTATTTAACACCCCTTAAGACATGGCTTTATGTTCTTAAATATTCTATATATTGTCATAGAATTTTATTTGGATCTCCAAAATGAGTTGCTTTATTTTCCAACCGGTTGAAATCTCAAATTAGTTTTGATATCAAATGAAGGTACAGTTGTAGCACCACTTTGTAGGTAGAAGGGAGTAAATACTTCTACCACCATACATAAAACTGGTAATGCTTTTTACTTAAGAGATAGATTTCCATTTTTACACATTAATTTTAAAGAAAAGGGTGAGGTTGACAAGTGGTAAGACTTATACACAGTAGTACTGAGAAGTCTACAACTACAAAAAAACTAACAAGGCAGAACGATTAATTTCAACTATCCATTGGCATATTTTACACACAAACCTGTGTCTTTTAGTAACATATAATTTTTTAGCACCAAAACCAGTTTTTTTCATTCTTACCATCCTTACAAATATGAAAAATTAGCATAATTACATGACATAAGAAGAGTCAGATGACAGATCTGAAAAATATTTTGTATTTCTCAAAGTCTGATCCAGAGATTCTGGGATCAAAATTTTCAAATAAACAGCACCAATACTTTGCTGATGATTTCAAAAGACCAAAATATCTAACAAAATATGGTATTAAATGAAGCATTAAAATAGTTTTATTGTCTTTAACACCCTATGAAACAGATGTCATCATTGTCCATTTTTTTAAAAGGCAAAAATAAACCAAAGCACTGAGCAGTCGCCTTAAGTCACGCCCTTCTTTAACCGTCAAACACAAACTTTCAAGACTTATTACAAAAGAAGCATGGCTAGTACAAGGAAAATACCAGATTACTTCGTTCAATGTTCTCAAACTACAAATTATTTAATTAAAGAAAATACTTCTTTTCCTTGAAGCTGCCTAGCCTGAAGCTCAACAGGGTATTGCATTAAAGCACCAGGTCCCAAAGGGATTCTCAGAGAATCTGCAGTCATCATGCTGTAAGAATATTCAAAGCAGTCACTACACTATTTCTGGGCTGAATATGCAGAATCCTCTCAAACAGAGCCCAATTTTTAACACAAATTGTGGTGGTGGTATACGTTAGCAGTGGCAAGTAGGAGCAGCTGGAATCAGGTAGCCGGTGGGTTACAAGCAGCTTGAGCTGAACATCACGTTCACATCTTTAGTTTTAAGATCTAGCATATGATCATTACTATAGCATTCTGTATCTGGACTGCAGCTGTTAGGGAGAAAAGTAAACCATACTTAATGTCAAAAGATTTTTAAGCCACAGGCTCTGGCAACCACTTACCGGCTGCCTACCAAGAGCAACACTTAACCTCTATGACCCTGTTTCCTGGTTTGTAAAATGAGAATATCACCACCCACCTCTGGGGGATGTTTGAAGGTTAGGTTAGATAATACCAGTGAAAATGTTTTGCAAAAGGAAAGTACCAGAGAAATGTAAAATATGGCTATTTATTGCTAAGAACAAAATTCGGCCTTTATTGCCACTCCTCTTTTGAAAGAATAAAAGCAACAGATGGCTTGTAATTCAGAAAGGCTTGGTAAAGATCTCACCCTCAGTCTGCCCTCAGCAACACTTCAAAAGCACTAGCCTACTTAAGACCGATCACCAGAATTACCTCATCAACAAAAACTGCCAGGTTGCAATCACTTAAAAAATTATTTTACGCATAAATGCATCTCACTCTGATGATGTAAGTGAAGATGGAGAGGAAGAAATGAAATGTAAGATACTTTTAACACACCATACGAAACAAAGAATGATTTTCAGACGTTTCTTTGGCAAATGGCTCATCACTTTTTACAGTCATCTTCAATACCTTCTCGTTTATTCATGGAAAATTTTAGCATCGCGCTTTCATGAGAATTTTTGGTAATGGTTTCAAGGTCTGACATTCGAAACCCTGTCTCCTTCGCTTGGATGTCATTTACTGCAGACACTTCACGATCCTGTGGACCCTTGGGTGCAGCAGAAGTGACAATATACAAGTACTCTGCATTTTGTAATAAAGGGAAACTGAGACCCACGCCTTGGCAGAAGTCCAAGGTCACACACGACGAGCCTGGGATACAGTTGTTTTTTCGAAGGCTGTCGCATAGGACGCGGTAAGCCAGTACTCATTTCCCAAGAGAAACGGGCAAAGAGCTGCATGCTCACGCATTCTTGCTTTCTCCCCCTCTCACTGAGGTACAACACTGAGTCCTCGCTAGGGGGACTGCTCCGCTGTCAACTCAGACAAGTATGATCTCCTTCCCCCTCCCACCCCGTAAAGACGACCCTTTCAGAGATGAAACTGTAGTTCCCAAAGACACATACTCGACCCATGGCCTCGCACGCCTGCCCGCTCCTCGGGGCACATCTCGGCCCGCAGAGCGGTCCCGGGACGCAGGGTACCCTGTTCCCTTACCAAGGAGCCGGAGGAAGATCTGGAGCACGATGCAGAACCGGCTTTGGCTGGAATCGGGGTAGGAGTTGAAGATGGCGTCGATGATGTAAAGGCAGGGCACCCTGAGCGCCACTTCGAGCGCCGCCCAGACCTGCTGATGGGCCATCCGCACCTGCTGCTGCGGGGGCCCCACCGCCGCC